CACACACACACACACACACACACACACACACACACACACACACACACACACACACACACACACACACACACACACACACACACACAAGCAAACCGTCCCTGCATGAGTGGGTGTGTAGAGTGGGTTTTATCGCTGCAACGGTCTAGTTTCTCAGACTTGCTGCCATTCTTGTAATGGGTTTGGAGCGACAGTCTGCCAGGATTGCAGGATTGGTGAGAGTAAAGTGGTCAACTTTTCTCTCTCAAAGGTATCGCTCCAACTCTGGGCAGGCGACATGGTGAGTCCTTCTCCGTCAGTCAAGTGCGTCTCACGCAGACTGTCAGGGCAGGTTCAACCTCCTGATGAGTCGGTGAAAGTCCGACAAAAGAGTCCGGCATAATCATAATTTTTTTATGGGAGTTGTTTATACCGAACTTGGCAACGCACGCACCTGAAGGCTCAGTGAAAGTTCAACGGAACATCATGGCACGGTCATGCTTTTCTTCATGGAGTTGTGTATAGCAAACATGACAACACACACACATGGATAAGATGGAGGATATATCATGTCATGATGCTGCTGTCATGATGCTGCTGTCATGATGCTGCTGGGTCTGCTTCTGACGATGATGATGACGATGATGATGATGATGATGATGATGATGATGATGATGATGATGATGATCGTGGTGGTGGTGGTGGTGGTGGTGGTGGTGGTGGTGGCGATGATGCACATGCAGAATTATATACCAGTGCTTATGGCTATGGCGAAAATATACTGGGATATGGAGAACTACACAGCAGTGGAACGGATCTTTCGGCAGAGTGCTGAGTTCTGCAGCGAGCACGATGTCTGGAAGCTCAACGTGGCTCACACCTTTTTTATGCAGGTATTGCAAAAGTCGAAATCATAAAAGGAAAAATTGTAAAAATGGTAAATCCTGAGTCATAATCCATAATAATAAATTAATAAGATATCTTTGCCCAATCTTCCCACATTTTCAATTTGGCACTCGTGTATCGGAGATAACAAGCACCACCTGATCCCAATTACTCCCAAGTCCTCACTGATCATGAACGGATGTGACAATCCTAAGTTCCTAACCGTATTAGCCTTAATTTAAATCTTAAAGCGATTTAATAATTCATTATAATTTATAAGTTGTTTTTCCCCCCCCCATCCCCTCCTCCCAGACAGGCTTAGAACTAGTAAGAAGTTAATAAAATGAGCTGAGTTTCTTTTGCAAGGAATATGAGTGGGAATGATATACAGAAAGCCAAGTTATGAAATCACACAGATGTTCATCCAAGTAGTCGTGTACAAGCGGAGAGCACAAATGCACCGAGATTTCACCCAAATATTAAGAGCAATACAATGAAGTAACGAGCCAATGTTCAAGCCCTCAGGCCACACCAACACAGTATCCAAAGTCGCTCCTCTCTGTCTGGCGCCCAGCGCCCAGCCTACACTACTCGACTATTCTGCCTACATCCGCATTATCGCAACAGGCTCACTTCGACTCTTGGAGACCAATGTACATGACGTCAACACCATAGCCGACCTCTCTCATGTACCAGGTACGTATCTCGCCTCCCCTCATCAGACCCTGTCCACCCACACTCGCCTCCTTCCTGAAGACCACCGATCGCCCTCTCACCCCCTAGCGCCCTGCAGCCCGGCTATGGCTGCTCGCGCTCCGCTGCCCAGCAGCGCCCCTCCTCCCCTCACACGCGCCTGCACGTGCTCTGGCCGCAGCGCAGCACGCAGACTCTGACGCAGCAGCGCAGCAGCGTGACCGCATTGCCTGCATGGGCCAGAATGCCTGCCTCTGGCTGCCTTCCTTCCTATATGGAAGTAGCAGCCTCTGCTTGGCTGAGTGTCGCCTGGCTGGAAGCTTCCAGTAGCTTCCGGTTGGGCCCCAGTGCCTGCGCCCAGGCCCAGTCCAACAGTTGAGGGCCTGGGCCCTTTACAGTTGGGCACGGCCTGAGTCTCCAGACTTGGGCCGTTTGCTGCATTTGCACAGGACCCGGGTATGTACGCCGACAGTGCTGCTTTTGCGCAGGCCTGTAGCCACTTCGTGATGTATCGGCCCTGCATTGTGTATATGTGCCCCGGCGCAACTGCCAAGGCCTGGGCCAAACTGTACCACGGATCGTAGGGAGGCTCACGCTTCCACTCAACCAACTGGCGGGCTGCAACAGCCCGAGTACCCACATATGAAAAATGTCGAATTTTGGCCTTTAGTGAATATTCAGGTCCCCCTGCGAGGGCTCATTCCTCACATTTTGTTTTAAAAAAAAAAAAAAAAAAAAAAAAAAACTTCAAAAAAGATAGGCTAAAATTAAGTGCCCTGACAGTCACCAGAAGGAAACAGAAAGTCGATCAATGTCATCGTTTTTTTCTGTTTTTTAAACGTTTTTATTATTTTTTTTCGTTTTCTTTTTACCTATTTTTGAATGATTTTTCTCGATTTATGCATGTCATCCTTGCATAGCGGCCATGCTAATCTACCTTTTTTTTTTGGTTAAAAAAAAAAAGGATGACAGCCTTGAGAATATCTTCAGTGATCACACCAGCCCTATAATAGATAATCCAGAATGATTTATTCCATTCATCCAGGTCCCAGCAGGATTTGAACCCAGGTCTGTATTTCAAACGGTTGATGGGTGTACTAACTGAGCTACCTTTTTCTTCCACCGAATACAACGTACCATCATTACAGCTGCATTTGGGGTATCTTTCAGTCTAAATACAGCTGTAATGACCTTACATTGTATTCTGGGGAAGAAGGTAGGGCCGCTGGTATGCTAATCTATCTTCTCTGTACCGTTTGCTGAACTTTGTTCCCATTTGATTGGATGTCCTTAGGGACACAATCAGCATCATCGTAGCTGTTAAGAGTCGGAAAAAAAACATGCTGTCGTGAAACTTGGGACAAAAGTTGGGACAATCTGCAAAACTCGGGGGAAAAGGAGGTCAAGGGGGCAAATTACCAAAAAAAAAAAAAAAAAAAAAAAAAAAAAAAAAGGGGGCAAATTACCTTCCACTGACTGAAGTTTCAGTGCGTAACTGGTAGACGTCTACCGGATCTGGTAAATTGGCACTCAGCTGACGGGACCGACACTCATCTAACGGAACTGGGACTGAACAAGGATTCCATCTGCCAGCAAAAAATGGATGAATTAAAGTGACTATGTAAATTACTAAATTAGTAAATTGCTAAAGATAAAAAAAAAGGAAAGCAACAGAGAGAGTTGCCTTTTTTGAAAGCTTGCATCACATTGCCGTACAGATAAATATAGCATGGTAACCCCGGACCCGGACACCGGACACTTCCGGACTGTCTTCCGGACCAGTGTCTGGATCGGTCCGGACTGTCCGGTGGTCCGGACATTACCGGACACCCGGACATCACCGGAC